TGATGGATGTCCTCCCCTGGGGTGGGATGGGCGGGTTAGGATTGATTGTCAAGCGCTGTTGATCTGTCATTGTAAATAGCGCTCTATAAGTGATAAATTGTAAATTGTTGTTGGTTCCAAGCACACAAACAAGTGATCAGGCTGAAAACTAAGGATGGCATTGTAGCGCGATACAGAAAACCTGTTAAAGTTCGTTTAACAGGGTTCGACAAATCAAGAAATGGAAGAAATTTCTTTGAAAAGTTAAGCACTTTGATTGGTCGAACACTGTCGCATAACTTTTTCTGGAAAATTTTAATTCAATTTTAACTAATTTCTTTTTAACTAAAAAATTATCACCAAGTTCTTTTGAACGACATTAGACTACCTGATTGAGGTGAAAGTATGAAAAAGGTTCTTGACATCACTGAATCACCCACTACTAATAGCTCCAAAAATCCCCCTGGACCTCGGAATACTAGATCATTGTAGATTACCCCTCAGTATTCCGGCAGTTTTGTTTCCTTGATAATTTTTCAAGAATCCCTTCTCCCACTTGATCACGGGAGTTGCATGGCCAGCGATATATCATATTAACTGGTAGTCACAGTTATGTCGCGGCAACGCGAACTTACATTTGTCACGACTGACACATAGACCCTTCTATTCAGGCAACTGACCTGTTATGCTCTTCCGAGTTAAACTTGTAATTCCACCAAGCTATACCAGCGACAACAAGGACAAATATCATAACAACAGGAATCGAAGGTCCAAGGACTACGATGTCTGGGACTTTTTCCTCGACCACCTTCTGTTCCTTGGCCACGACGACATGACCTGGCGTCGTCCAAGCACTTTCCCCTCCACCAAAGGTGACTCGAAACGTCCTGGGTAACGGAGTCCGAGCGCCAGTCAGTTCTGTTGTTATTCGTGTTTCTGGTGTAACTTGGAAAACAATTCCCGCTGTAGAGTTTATCGGCGCTTTGCTTGTAAATGTTGACAAAGGAATACTAAATCCTGATACGTTTACATTTGAAGACGAGCCAGTATTTGTTGGAGGCTCTGAAGCAATCCTTGTGGATGTTGTTGTGACAACGGTTTGATTGACAGATGTTCCTACTACGCCCATCGTTGGAGCAGGTGCTGGTGTTTGAAGGGTTTTATAATGAAGCTTGAACCCAGTCTCTTCGCCAGTAGAGTCAGAAACGAAACGAATTCTGACCCTAGACATCAAATAAAGAATCTTGTCTGGAGGATTACCGTTACAATATTTCACATTGAATCCTGCGTTACTAGACGTAGAGTCAAGTTCTTTTATTTGGACAAAGTCACAATGGCATTTATTGCCACCACACTGATTAGAATTTGATTGGAAGTTAAACGATGTAAACCGCAAAGATACATTCGCGTTTTTCGGGGGCGTTATAATCCAGGTGCAGGATGAGTTGGCTTGATATTGTCCCCGAAATTTGGGACTTGTTATGGTTCCTTCATTGTCGATAAGTCGCTTTCTACTTTGACAAGCAGTTGGTAATGATCCTGAAATGTACAGAGTTAACTGGGTGAATAACAACATCGGTAAGAAAGTGCGAACAGTTTATGGAAAAGGGAAGCGATGTAAACAAAAGACCAGCTGATTAATCAACCAACAACCAACGTATATTTAACAAATGGTAAACACCACACCGTACACTATTGAGTTATGGATGCACGCGGGAGGTTGCTAAGCACGAAAGAAGCGTAAGAGTCGCTCGAGGCGATAGCCGAGAGCGACTCTAGCTTCTTGAGTGCTTAGCAAACCTCCCAAGTGCATCCATAACTCAATAGTGTACGCTGTGGTGTTTACCATTTGTTTTATAACATAACATTGATACATTGTCGCTAAAGAGTTCCCTTTTATATAACAAATCTTACGTGACCAGAAAAAACAAGCGCGCGCGGAAAAATAGTCTTTGCATTTGCTCACGTGAGCAGCGTACACCCATGGGCAAATGGGGGACGCTAAATTGACCAATCAGAGCGCGCGCTTTACTTTGGTTATGTTATAAAGGTCTATCGAACCGACCGAATGACCGGCTTACCGACCGACCGACAAACCAACTAACCGCTGGTTTTTCCCGACAAACGGGCTGCCCCTCCCCAATCGCTACCAAACCAACATGGCGGGGACTGATTACAAATTTACTAGGGAGAAATCCTCGTAGGAAACCATGCTACGCAGTAGTTTACCCAGATGTGAAATTCTGCTTTTGTATCTTATCTGTTGGGTCTCTCCGGGCAAACTCGTACAGATGGCCCTCAGTTTTTTTTTTAATTCGATTATCGGATCCCACATATTTCCTATTTTTTCATACTCACGATTTTTCTGATAGCGAAACACACTAACCTTCTGTCTCAGCTTTTCAAGTTTTGGGGAATGTTGTTGCTATAAAGCTTAAAACTGTGTTGTGAATACGTAATTAAGCTGCTAGCTGCGATGTAGAATATTAACAAAGTATCTATCTACAGCGTTCAGGTATCTACGAGTCGAGCGATGGGAGCTTTCACTATGATTGGTCTGTGCATCTTAACTATATTCGTCGTTGAACATGCTGCTTTTCTTTCGTTATTTGTTTCTCTGTGTTGCAAATTATGTTTCATTTTCTTTCTTCCTTTTTATTTATTTATTTTTTTTTAGTCCTGCTGTTTTGGCATTTTTTACGGTGGCCCAGAAGGCTCAACGCAAACAAAAAATATACTGTAGCAAATAGAAAATATACTGCAGCAAATAAAAAATATACTGCAGCAAATAAAAATATACTGCAGCAAATAAAAAAGATCAAAACGCAAAGAAAAAAAGTACCGCAGCAAATAAAAAATGCAACGCAAACGAAAAATACTGCAGCAAATAAAATATGCAACGCAAACAAAAAAAAGAGAACGCAAACAAAAAAATTGGAACGCAACGCCAAGGAGGACTGTGTAATAGATTTTAGTTTCCTGCCAAAACAGCATGAACTGGAACTCGCTTTTGGTTATGGACGAAAGCGACCTGCGTAGGATTATAGAAGATTACTTTCATGAAGGTTATGAAAATAGAGTTATTATCGATTTTTCAAAGGAGCAGCATGGTACTGTCATAAGTTCGCTGCAAAACATGGTTTCGGAAGGCGAACAAGCAAAGGATGGAACGAGTGTTGGCGGGAAACGAAGAACTATTACCCAGTCTTCCTTGGCGTTGCGTTCCAATTTTTTTGTTTGCGTTTCTTTTTTTTGTTTACGTTGCATATTTTATTTGCTGCAGTATTTTTTGTTTGCGTTGCATTTTTTATTTGCTGCGGTACATTTTTTCTTTGCGTTTTGATTTTTTTTATTTGCCGCAGTATATTTTTTGGTTGCTGCAGTATATCTTTTATTTGCTGCAGTATATTTTTTATTTCCTGCAGTATATTTTTTGTTTGCGTTGAGCCTTCTGGGCCACCGTAATTTTTACTTCTTTATTGGTGAATATTTCTGTTGTTCACGTATTTTGAAATAAAAGCTAGCGCTAAGAAGTCACGACGTTTCGACCTCTCTGAGGTCATTTTTCAAGTGAGTAAGTTTTCCAAATCAGCATAAATATGTTGAAGCAAGTTGAAGACGATAAAATGTGGCGAACGCTAAAATATGTTCACGTATTCGAGAAAACGAAGCCGAATTGCGTGACGTAGCATTTATAAATAGAAGCAAGGAACAGCGAGGGACTCGAAGATTTCCCGAGGGGGTAAGGGTGGGAACGTAGTTACGAATTGTTCGTACCCCGAGGGAAATAAGATTCCAATTCCTGTTACCAAATTGCTAGAAATTATCTCCACCCCCAAAATATTCCCAGCCAATTTACATTCGCAAACAATGAAAATTATCCCGGTATATTGTTCATTAAAGAGAGTATTAGCTAAAACAATATATAGTAAATGTAAATATACAAATATAAGAAAACTCGGTCTTCTGCACCTGCAAATATCAATCAATATATTAGACATGTAAGGACGTATATTTTGCGGAAACGGAGTTATATTGTTTGCATATATTGCACAAGAATTATTGTACCTCTGAGGATGGACTATCGAGCGCTATTTGTTAGGAGAATATATTGTCATGTGATTCAAAATTCTTTAACAGAAAAGAATGATAAAAGAAAAAGGAAAGGACCGGTTCAGCATTAGCCCAAAACGTGTTTACAAACTTATTAGCACAAAAATCAACCTGCCGTGAAGCGCATTATATACCCAGTTCAAACAAATGTCACTTTGGACAGGAAATAAAAACGATTCACCCTGCTGACTGCCTAATTCGATGCTAAAATTTTGAAAGTATTGTTTTTCTTTGAGTTCAAAAAAAGCGAGCAAAATAGTTACAAAACATCTGGGAAAGAACAATCTCGGATTGTGGCAGTAAATTAGTTCAATCTGTTTTCGAATGAACTGTTTTTCCACTCCGAACAAAGTTAGTTAGTCTAGGAATTGAAGAATAGATCCCTTTATCTGTCGGAAAATGAAAGAGAATTAAGAGAAAAAATTAACAAAATCTACGCATTTTAAACAGCCCTAGTTCTTGTTGACCCTAAAAAAAAATCTTGGTTTTACATGTGATATTTCAGAAGGAAATCGCGACGATGCGATCTAATCTTCCACGAATTATCTGTGCCACTGTTCATGTTTGATTATCCAGCATAATTCAGGGTAAATAAAATATTTGTGGAGATTTGACGGAATTAAATAGATATGTTTAATCTGAGCAGACAAAAGTTGCTGCGAAAGTTGAATACATTTAATTTTACTGAACAATACGGACCGTTGGTGGTAATGTTAGAAAAAGTTCATAGTCTGTGTAGTGTGCAAAACCGCAGCCGAGGTCATTACGAATAAAAGTATATTTTGTAAGCTTCTTTCCCCCGCTTGTTCCCCCTAAAACAGTTCAGCTAATCCGTAAAAATAACAAGCAAATTCCTAATTATTTGACGGAGGTGAAATACTCCGAATCTCTTAGAGATTCGATAAGTTACAGCGCATGTAAAATTTTATGACACATCCATTCGCGCATATCATTGAAAAACATTAAGCAGGAAAGCTTCTGATTCTGCGGGTCAATATTTAAAAGCAATTTTACTCACCAGCTTGTCGTGAAGTTCTAGGTCTTGCTACGACCAGCTGAAGCGCATAACTGAAAGAGGTAAACCATGTAAAACATATGAACCTCATGTCTTTCGAACAACAGACATCCACTCAGCTTATAAGCTCCGCCGACGCATCAGCTCCAAATTTAAAGGCAGGTTTTCTTGTTATTTAATTGATCAATACTCTCAGAGCGGAAGTCTTCTTTTGTGAACAGCTTGGAAAGAAAATACAACGACGAGAGCTAGAAAGGGCTCGCTGTCTTCGTGACAGGCTGCGTTGTAATAGACCGGCTCTTTGCTCGAAGTGGGCAGAATGCATTCAATGTTTACTTTTTCGTTGAGAGTTTCAGCAACTGGCCGAAAGATAAAGCTCTGATTTTGCGTTTCTCTCCGGATTTGCTTAAAAGAATCATAGGAAAGCGCATTCCTTCACATCGTCTAAGATGAAGTTTTGCTTTACTCTAACAGCTCTGCTGGAAGCCAACAGATACGCCAAAGACACAATGACCAAACACGAAGGGGTCAAATTAATTTTATGCCCATCCTTTGTGCCATCGTCACAATCTGCGGCTCCCGTCGGGAAACAACCTAAGTGTTCACTTCTTCGTCGTGTAAATATTGAACCAGTATGTGAAAGGCGATTGCTTACTCCACGCAAAGAATTATAATCTCTAGGAATTGGAGTGTGTTATCCGACCGCAAAATCGCGGGTGAGTGCCTCGATTGCAGGAGTTGTTCCGTTTGCCAACACACTACGCAAAGCGAACAGTAGTAATTTCATTTATCTCTCCAGAATAATTCTAGCGAATCGAAGGCGATCAAACCTCATTGTTTATCATTCTAATCATACTTAGAAGACAAGGAAAGTAATTACTTTATTTAAGCTGTCAAAGTGTGCGTGTTTGTAGCGGATAACAATCAAATAGTGTCCAGTCACGCAATCTGATTTCAGCGACTTGAAATTCTGTGCAGAAAATCGTTGCAATATTGGAAAGAATCGGTGATAACATAGGTTCAGTCAGTTCTGCCATATTCTAATCAATACATTTTGACAATAATGTCAAGATATAAAGGGTAAACTGAGCGAGAATGAGGAACATATTCTGTCTTAAAATTAAAAGGTAATTAAGGGTGACATCTTACCTACGCTCCACAGATATAGTCATACATTCTTACTCTTTTGTTGTGATAAGAAGAGATCGAATGACTGAAATTGCAACGAGGCCAGAGAATTGCGTAAATGCACTTCGCGACTATCAGCATGTGTATTAAATGGGTGGGGGAAGGGGGGGTAGGCGAGTGAGTGTATCATTAAAAGCCAGGGAGGTGAGGTGAGATATCGCATGATGTCTCCATTCAGCCACCCTATCCCCTCGGTTGACCAGAACCTTCGTACAATCGGTTTTAGTGCCGGTGCGTGCCGTGCCAACCACTTTTCAAAGGCTAAGCAAATTGAAATTGAAATTCTGTTTCTCTCCTGTTTTTCGTCCATCTAATATGAATTTCATTTTTCGTCTATTTTCAGTTTCTTGACACTGAAAAACAGAGATATTTTCAGTGACATCATGTAACGAACAAATCAAGCTGCAATTTTGTTGTTTTTGTTTTTCTTCATCGCAGTGAGTGTGAGGAGAACGCACGGTGAGTACGAGAGTCGAGACACCAGAGAGTGGAGAAGAGCTAACTTAGCCCGAGAAGGCTTGGAAGCCACTGGTTTTGGTAGACAAACTGATCAAGAAGGTAAAATAGACATTTTTCTGATTTTTAGCCTGAGGTATCAGTCTTCGTATCTTTTTTCGAAAACTTGTTCAATGCCCATTAAACCGGTTCGCATAGAAAACTGTCCCGCCATTATTGTTCTAGAGAAAAGCAGAGAACCTCGTAATGCTCTTCTTTAGAGTACTGAAGACGAGAAAATTATTCGTTTTTTCAAATGTGGTACCCCAGTAATCCGATGAAAGATGTAAGTATGTAAAGGTAAAAAAAAAACAAACAAACAAACAAACAAAACAAAAGAGAAGGTATGAAGTTTTCGAATTTTCCTTTCTTTCCACAGGGAAAAAAAAAAAGGGCCATTTTGGGAATGTTATTTTTAGGTCTGGTTTTCCAGCACAGGGAAAAAAAACCAAAAACAAAATTTATATTTCCTTTGAACACTGAAAATCGGTTGGCTAACCCGGATTCGAATGCCCACGAGGAAAACGGAGAAAATTCAAAGTGCTTCGACAAGCAATGCCAACTCTTTCAAATCATAAAAAAGTTATTCATGAAAAAACCGTTTTACGTTGCCATAAATGTATACAAATACATCTTATGAACTACCAGCAATAGAGTATTTTGATTGGTTGATTTTAGTTATTGGCCCTCTGACTGCCCAAGTCGTGCAATAAACACATCTTATGAACTACCGGCAATAGAGTATTTTGATTGGTTGATTTTAGTTATTGGCCCTCTGAATGCCCGAGTCGTGTAATAAATACATCTTGTGAACTACCGGCAATAGAGTATTTTGATTGGTTGATTTCAGTTATTGGCCCTCTGACTGCCCGAGTCGTGTAATAAATACATCTTATGAACTACGTAAGAGGAACACTGCCTCGTACAAAAAAAAAAGTCTGACGAGAGATTTACAGGATGACCGATTCAAACACGTCCTCTTTTTTCCTCAGAGAATCCACTGTTTCCACACATGGCAAACTTTCATTCGTTCGTCAACTCTTGGTGAATTTTCCTTTCCCGTTTTTCCAGGTTCTGGACCTAACACCGTGAGTGTGGTATGAAGAAAGGAAAAATTTACTGGACTTCTGTTCCCTCCACGTGCACATACTGTATAACTTGATGGACCCTGATACTGGAAACCATTCACTGTTCCGCTCACACTCTTGTTTACCAAACCGGTCGAGTCGGGATTTAGTTGTTAGTCCCAATGAGCTTCCCTGAAAAACCTAGAGGGTCTGATTCAAGAAGTGTAGTAGCTGTTTTCGGTTCTTATCTCGCTGAACAAAAAAGAAAACATGGGAAGTACCTTTAACAAAGTAATGTAACAAAGGGCAGAGGGGCTGGAACATGAAATTAAACGCAAATCACTTTTAGTATGGATGACACGTCGGTGAAAGAAATCTCCGCGAAAAACGAGCACTGGAGAATAATGGTACATAAATAAATGTTGTGCCGCGTAGCACTATGAACACAATGGTGGAACAGAGAATTAACTCTGAAGTGTAAATTAAAGTGCTACGTGAAACCCATGAAAAACCCACTGGGCGTTAGCCCTCGTAAAGGGTATCACGGAACCACCAATTTCCGAATAACAAAATGACATTCCCAAAAACATTCTCAAGCTACACCATGAGTACAAATGAGATACTGATTCATACCAGAATTTTTAATTCTGCAGTCTTTATCTACCTCCTTGTCCTTGCTTGATTTTTTCACTTTAAGTTTGATCTTCTTGCCTGTCACGGAGCTTCTCAGTGCCTCTTCCTTCCGTTTTCGTTCTTTCATGAACTGAAAGATTCGATAAAAAGATTCATGGAACTGAGTTCGAGGTCAGTACTCGAAGTGCGCACTGTAGGTACATAAAAGTTTGCCTGAAAAAGGTCTACGAGGGTCACGCAATCCTTCTTTCAGCCATTGAAGAAGGCTGTTTGCAGTTAGAAGGTTTTCTCTCTGCTTAATCACCACGACAAAACTCTTGTTCTTTAGCGGTTCGAGATCATCATGGCACGTCGCGTCGAAGGCAGACGGCCTTATCAAAAGAAAATGTTAAGTTCGAGTTATGTCTAATCAAAGGCGAGTTACGAACTGTTGAAGAGGGGTTAGTTTCTAAAGCTTAAACTGTGATGCTGCATCGTTGGGTGGTATTACAAGATTATTTGTTTGATGATGTGAATTGGCCTCCGTAAGAGTTTCTAATTCTGATGTTTCGAGCGCTAGTTCTAGCGAAGGGCTAAAGCTCGAAACGTCAGCTCAGAAACCAGGGAGGAGAGAGAGGTGTCTCTCAGCCCTGTAAAAAGCTCTTTACGGTAGCCAAAATTAATTATCATAAAACCAAATTAAACTGTCGGAGGGTTTTCCTGGGCTACAAACCTTTGAAAGTTGAACAGGGCCAGAAGCTTCGTCTGTTTCTTTCCTCCTGCTCTTCTTCTTTCTTTTCTTCTCCTGATTGAGATAGAAAACTTTCTGGTATTTAAGACAGAAAAGCTGACTTTCTCCCACAATAACATAATGAATATAGTACGCAACATCTGATTGGTCAATTCAGTTTCCAAGCGGATGCTTTATCTGGTTAGGGAGCCTGCATATGACTGCTTAAGTCATGAAAGCAATAGAACGCACTTTTCCCGAGCTCTCCGAACTTTTCTCCGAGCTTTTCCGAGCTTTCCGAACTTGATAAAGACACTTGGAATGTTGGGAAAACAGTTGGAAAGCTTATAAATCATAGGTCAAACCTTGCATTCTCCAAACATCTCATGTGGCTTTATCACATTATAGAGCCCAGAAAATGTGTTCTATTGTTCAAATATGATCGGCAAATCCACTCTCAAATTGCAACTACTTGAGACATACATTGTCATAAACAACTTCAACATGAGCAAGGGTTTTCATCAAGAGATGTATAGAAGAAGGAAAACAGAATAGTTTTCTCTCTGTCTAAATAAAATCTAGCTTTGTAAATCTAATTCTAAGTGGAGAATTCAGAGCATTGGCCAAAGCACTTTTTAATTGTCATTGCCCGATAAACACCCTGAAGCAGATATTATCTACATTTGTAACAGCGACACACTTGGCTGCCCCTCGTGCATCACTTTTTCGTCCTTACCGCATTTTGAGATCAACCATGATCATAGTTAGTAGAGGGGACTTCACGTCTCCAAGCTAAATACTGAACAATTTTCACCTGGCATTATGTCCACTGACTTGATTAATGTTTTTAGCTATATTTTGAAGGTAAGATGTCGCACGATCACAGAGAAAATCCAAAAAATTAAACACTACGTGACTGTCGAAACAAGCCTACAGCGCCATTTTGGATTTATGTGTGCAGGGTCATTGTCACGTGACCTCGATAAAATCGAACAATAACCTATCCGATTGAAGTTTGCCGCATTTCCTAACCATTTCCCTCTACTAACTATGCCGTGATCTTATGCTAAACAGATGCTCAGCAACATAGAATCTAATTGTTAATTTGACCAAGGTTTAAAATATCAAAGATCCAAGTGCTGTTACATATACCTTTCTCTTTTTCCTTTTTGTCCTTTCTGCTGAAAAGTAAGAAATGACAGAATAAAATAACTTTCGCAGATGTTATGAACTTCCAGAAAATAAGAAAGTAAATACAGTAGAATCCTGGCAACTCAGACTTGGTTAACTTCAACTCCCCAGTAACTCAAATGAGATCTGATTTTGCTAGACCGCATTTTTTTTAGTTATTTACCATTGTTAATTTAAACCCTTTTTTTGTTTCCCTTGGGAGTTCAAGTCAACAGTGTTATTCTTTAAAGGCAGTAGAAATAACTATCAGTAAATAATTTCTTTCTATAAGTTTGGTAGAGCAAGGCTCGGCTATTTGCCAAGGAAGAAAGCTTGGATAGATATCATTTAAGTAAATACAGACAAATTCATCCTCCAATAAAATACTCTTAGACTAGTTGCTTTTCTCCAACATCTGCTTGGGAAAGACTGCAATAAGCTGTGAGTGAAACAATGTTTTTAGAATGTACTACTTTTTTTTTTCAATATCCATCAGTATATATTAAGTTTAATTTTCATTTTAAGTTTCTGAAAGTACTGTATTTCCTTGATTAAGCAACCTCCTTCCAATAAGTACCCCCCACCCCTTTAAAGCCCAAATTTGAAATATTCAAGGAAATATAGTATTCAAACGTTTTGATGCCTACCTGAGGAATCTGATTCAGAGGCACTCGAGGAGCTGCTGCCAGTTTTGCTGGATGAAGTGCTTCTTGAATGCTTCCTTCTCTTCTTCTGTTTTTCTGCCAGGATGATCGGTATACAAGAACATATTGATTAACAAAATTACAGTGCATTGTTGTTACAACAGCATCACCTCCAAGATAAAAAAAAAAGATATATATATGTATATAAAAAATAATAAAAAAGGAGAACGAAAAAATAAAAATGTAATTGTGTAGTACTGTTAGTTCTGTACTTGTTGTAAATATCAAAAGTATCATCCAAACATGTGTCTGTGTATATTCGTACAACAGCCCCTAGTTACTTGAGTAGTAAGTTTGTTAAGTGATCGGACATTCATAATTGTAGGACACAAAATAATTGTGAAGCTCTACAGATTCCATTCTTTAGGTCAGCATCTGGTCAGCAGTCCTTTGCCTTTAGAGGAGCGAGGCTCTGGAACAATCTATCCCCTGAATTAAGACAGTGTGCCTCCCTAAATGCATTTAAGGAAAAACTTAAGAGTCACATTCTTGCAAACAGTTATTAGTTTTGATATAATTGGTTATATTAATGTAAATAGTCATTAGTTTTTGATATTATTAATCTGATGAAGTTATGTAAATAGATGCTGAAAAGCCTCTTGGGGAGTACCTATTAAAGTTTTCAATTGCAACCCTTTTTATCCAAGATCCAAATTTTTATTGTTCTCTCTTGCACAGTTGCTACTTCTTTTTGTTCAGTTTTTGTAGCCAGCAGTTTTGTGGGTGCAAAGGCATTGAGCAGTAAAGCTGGAAGAGACTTGGGACTGAAGATTCATGTTTTTGCCCCCGTTGCCACACAATTCACGCATTTCTTGACAAATAACTTGTCATAGTCTGGTGTCTTATCACGCATGTTAATAAACTTTACAACGCAGCTGATTTCAAAATCAGTTTCTCAATTCTTCATGGGTGTTTATCAGGTATTTGGCATTGCGGAGTTTGGCTGAATTTTGATGCTATGAACTATTTTTGATTCAGACGCGGAGAATATTCCCTTGTTACTGTGAACTGACTTCTGCGAAATTTTTTTTTTAATGTACACCTTGGCTGTATCCCATCACCTGATAACTGGAAAATACATTGAAACTGGGAGAAAAAGGTGGCCAGTTAGAGATCTGTGGGATATTAAGGGCTACATAGATTTGTATTTTAGATACAGTAATACGATACCTCGCGACGGTGATCTGCTTCTGCTTGAAGAATTTGATGAAGAAGAATTTGCTCTTGACTGATTCTTTTGCTTCCTCTTAGTTTTCTTCTGTACTGTTGAATAATGAGAGATGGTTTGAATGAAATTATCCTATAATTACAAAAATGAAATCTATAACTCACTTAAGGCTTGTAAAAATTTGTTTTTTAATCACTGGCCGCCAACTTCTCGCCAACTGACAGAGAATTGACAGATACGTACGTCGACTGCGTGACATCTCTCCTTCCTCGTGATGTTTTCTTGATGAATCCTTCTTCTTTTCTAATAAAAGGAAATGCCGAATAAGTAAATACACACAAAAAAAAACTTTCAACGCGAGGAAATGCAATGCCCACCTTCCCGCTCTGGTCGCCCTTGTTCGTCCGCCATTTTGAACGCAAGACGCATTGATATCAGCGGTCTTCCCCCTGAGCTGTGTAGCCTAGCCTCAATCTGGCTGCCATCTTGTAAACTGTCTCGGCTGGAGTAGGAGTAATCTTTGTTAAAACCAAAGCTGAATGAAACTCTTATGTAGGAATTACTCATCACTTCTTCCGTTTGCAAGAAATTATTTTTACTGTCCATCCGTTTGTGTACATAAAAGATGGGAGAGCGGTAGCCGGGAAATCAGCACCGACGAGGTACTCGTACCTCTCGAACCTTACGTTATGTAAGATGCATATTTGGTTGTAGAAACATCGTAAACTTTGCGCTTTAAATTTTATTAATAATTTCAGGTCTCTAGAAGAGCTTCTGCCTCTTCTTTTCGTGGCAAGTTTAATTTGGTTGGTCCTCGACATCATAGCTCAAACATAAGAAAGATAGTCTTTGCAAGATTGAACAATGAAACCACAAAAGTAAGCTCAATATGATTGCTGGTCTTCTTTTTAACCTACAAGTATAATAAACCACAGGGAATATTAGGAGAACGTACTTGAATCTTTAAAAATGAAACTTCCAGAGCTTTTATGAAACATCTGTGGGTTTACTAGCTGATCTCGCCACCAATGGCAATTGAAATTGAATCAGATGTTTTGTGTGGCAAAAGCGAGAAGAGTAGCAAGTGTTAGTGTTACTGTGTGTCTGTGTGTCTTTATTGTTCAAAAGATAAAATTACATATCTTATGTTACATCTAATACAGGAAGTACACTTTCACAAAGCTACATTATACTTAAAAACAATTCTATTAAAAAATGTATTCTTAAAACGGTTTGTGCGAATAGCGGGCATGACAGGGGATTTATTTCTCAAATTATACCTCGTGATCTTGGTCTCAGGGAAGTAGGCTCTAAGAGGATGGCTCAGGATAGTTGAAACCTTGCGACAAATTTTGTGATCTTGCGTTTTAAGTAAGTCACCTATCACTAATTTCTTAGATATGTATTTACGTTTAAAACAACGATCTAAAAACTGCTGGGCTATAGTTAGCTCTGACTCAGAGGCCCCATGCACAGATAGAGCATAAGTGATATTAGGTAGGACAATGGAATTAAATAAAACATCTACTTCTGCTTGGCTACATCCTTCCTTGCGGAGGCATCTGATAACGTATAACCCTTTATTAGCTTTACCTAACTTTTCTTTTAGGTGAGTACTGAATTTGCAGTTCGGCTGAAACGTGAGACCAAGAATGGTTATTGTACTAGTCTGAGGTATGCCAAAAATACTTTTGTAGGCCTCGGCAGTGTGACCTTTTTTATACATAATAAGCTCTTTACATTTAGTAGAATTTGAATTCATTCTATTTTGGCTTGCCCACTGTAAAAACTGATTTATTAAGTCTACAGAGTGATCTTTATAATAATATACCGGAGCAATAATCGTACAGTCATCAGCGTATTTGAAACCAAGTGTCTCGTTCCCTAATTTAATTTCCAGATCGTTAAGAAATATATTGAACAAATAAGGTCCTGAAACACTACCCTGGGTTGTGCCCTTGTTAACTGTTTTCCAATTACNTAGGGGAGCATTTAATTTTTCTGTACAGTTGGGAACCTATAGAGTGACATAAATTTAAAACTTTTGTTCTGTAGTCAAAAAAGGCTTTCCTTCAATTACGATCAAAAAATCTGGAAACAGAGACAAGTAAGTGTCAAAAGTACTGTTGTAGACAGTTACATGTAGCCAGAAAACAGGAGATCCCACCTGTTTGGGTTCCACTGACTAACGGCATCCAACCTAGAAGACTGCTTCACTATATCGAGATGAGCATGCTTAAGTGCATCCTCAGTCTCCTTTGTAAATGGTAAATGATAATTAATTTTGATCAGCCAATTTGAAATCAATGACAGAAAAGAGTTTAAGATTTCTTTGCAGATAACTGGGAATAAGGGGTGCTGGCTTTATTTGGAGAGACACAAATTGGATAAAAACCTGAAGAAATATCCTTACAGCAAAGACAATGACAACAACAGAAAAAATAAAAAAACGCAACCCACATGTGACACTACATAGGTTTGGGAATGAAACCTAGGCTTCAGTGGTATAGCAAGAGGGGAGGGCCCTCGCAACTGGGCTAACGATCCTTCCCTTTGATGTCTTGCTACTGTACAGAGATTTGTATTTATCATAATTAAGTTGTGTTTATTGTATTCCTGAAACTTTCACCTCTTATCTTTATAAAAGCTAAAATTTTTTTGAATCGTTTCTGGGATTTTCTTAGGTTAAAAAAAAATTTTAGTTTTTAAGTTGTGTTAAATGTAATACAGTTCAAGGGTTTGATTAATAATTTAGAAATTATGTTTCTTTGAATGTTTTTCAGATAAGGAGTTAGCGGATGAGTTGTCAAAATTTTATCGGGATTTCTTGGATGGCAATTACAATGTGCATTCTCAATATCTCAGGTAACAACACAAAAACTAATTAGTTATAATGACAAATTTTTAATACAGTCAACTCTCTGCTGATGGACACTCTCATAAGTGGACAGTTCTACTCGCAGACACTTTTTTCAGTTCCCCTTTTTGCCTCTAGTCAAACTTACACCTTCCCACAAGTGGATACTCTCTTCTAAGCAGACTGACATTCACAAGCATCTGATGCAACACTCGGACTCCCATAGGTGGACATTCACTCTATTTTTCTTTAGTGTCCACTTATGAGAATAATTCTTGTAGGTGGACAGGTCTACTGAAGCAGACAGACTCTTTTTCCATTTCCTGGCAGCTTCTGCCTTTGAGAGAGTTGTCTGTAGCTATACATCAGGATAGATTTTATAAGATGTATTTATTTTAGCCAATAATAACTCAAATTGAAAACAGCCAAACTGTCTGAGGTGCAGGAAAATGCTGTTAACCACTTGCACGTCACTTCTGGTTTTCAGTTCAGCACATGATTGACAGAGAAGTTGATGCAACACTTCACAGAGGGCAGAGCATCCAAACAAAAGGAATCCTTGATTATTTTCAACTATTTCACATTACTTAAGCTCAGCAAGTAGATTCTATGATTGCAAAGTCAGAAATGGCTGAGGTTTTTTAATCCATAGGAACCACTTGGATATATTTCTTTCCCATATTAGTGAAAGTACTCCAGGGTCTTTCTTTAGTGAATGTAGTAATTAGAAATTATGTTTTATCTTTTACATTGAACAGAGATTGGTACAGGAGAAATTTCCATTTATTATGGACAGGGATACAGGTGTCAGTGTTCAGGATACTCAGCAAAATCATGCCAAAGAAGTCAAGATAATTGCTGGGCATTCGAAAGTCAACGTAAAAGTAATAGGATTGTGTGATTTCTGGTGACTATCAGATGGATGAAAAACACATTGTTGTAAATAGCACAAAGGCACGGCATCGAAAAAATTTTGAAATGTATGCAGAAGAGCACTTTATCTTAGTATTGGAACGATAAAGACCAGGAAAGAAAAACCAATTTATTTTGGGATCATTAGAATTGGGGCAGCATGCCATGGCAGGAACATTTTGTTTTAAGTATTCTTTTACAAATATTGTGAAGTGAGTGATAGTGTTCTTGAGCAGAGTATTGATGAACTTGGTCCAGTGTTCTGAGATTTGAATGTGCTGGCATATGATTATCTCCTTATAAATTGGAGAGATTTCAATGTAATAATTTGTGTTTAAAACGTTTGAGTGTCTGCCAATTTGGCTTGCATTATATCATTCTTGGCACATGAAATTGTCTGTTGTCTTAGATCACTTTCCTTCCATGGGGAACATTTTTAACTCGTGTGAACGAGTTTTTTATAGCGATTCCGATATGCAAATGGTTCACCACTCGCTCAGAGTAGACACTGTTTTAAATAAGTCGTTCTGAACTCGCCCGCGCACTTCCCGAGCACGAAACCATACTGGAGTTGTAACCGCGCATAAAACGATAGTGACGTTTTGTAACAATTTATACAAATACAGTGAATATATGAAGTTCATATATTTTGAACTGCGGTTGTAGATACGTACGATGCACGATCCTCGCAGTAGAAAGCGCTAGTAAGTCACCTATCACTAATTTCTTAGATATGTATTTACGTTAGTGTTACATGAAATGAAATAAAACATGTCAATACCACAAAGATTATGATCAGTTTGCATGCAACAAAACCAGAGTAATTTTTGCCTATGTTTATGAAATTGTAGTCTAAGTTCTGATGTATTTAGTTGATTGTTGAGCTTGGCAGTGGAAAGGTAAATGAGCCAAACTAGGTGGCTTGTTGGATGGGTGGTTAAAAGTGGCCCTGTATTCTATAGTTTAGCTTAAAACATTGTGCCCTCATTGATAAATTTGTCGCTGTTTGCATCACCTTTGTACTTGACAGTGTGTTGGTATTAGGAGGAGGATGTTACTCACTGATGGCTCCAGGGAAAGAAGGGCTAAGTTGCAAATAACATTTACATGATCCTGTATCTTGTTCTTCTTCCTTGGCAGTTTATATCTGTTTGTATTACATGATTGTGTTTATAACAGAACACATTCAGAAAAAAGGTAAGCAAAACAAGAAAAGTATGTAATATCTCTGTTTTGTTTTGTCTATTTTGTTTTTTTGGTTTTTTTTTTGGTTTTTTTTTTAGGAGAGATACTTCAGGGAACAACAGCAAGAGCTAAACACTTGGAATCAGAATTTCTGGGGGAAACAAAATGAAAAATTCAATAAGGTTGGATATGTCGATTTGTAGGTCTTTTGAAGAATAGATAAAGAAGGAAATATGGAAAACAGTCACGTCAAACACAAAATAATGGTCCAAATTTCATGCTCATAGGTCTACACATACAGTGCCACTCGCATATACATTAACCAAAATAAGGAACATAAATCATGCATAAATACAGGTGCAAGTGCAAATAAACTTGCATAATTTGTATAAGTAATTTTGCATATGGGCAAATAAATGAATATGTAAATCTTCCTCTTAGCATCTTCTTCTTAGCATCTTCATTTAGAACATTTGAACTAGCTTATTGTTTCCATTGTTAACATGTAATTGTTTTAAAGCAAAGACTGATAGCACAAAAATACCACATGACTGCAAACTACATGTAGATTTGTTTGTTTCAATTGCTGCTTGAGCCTACCTTCCCGATATGCTGTGACACATTATTTTATGCAACTTCTTACTCAAGAAAGTTTAAACAAG